TCATTTTTCAAATCCTAATACCTAGTTTGAAACAAAATATACTATAAAAAATTGTAAATACGCTTATATTTAATCAAGGTATTTAAAATTCTCTCAATAAAGTGTGTATTAAATTTTCTATTTTCAACAACATTTGAAATACTTTTGTAAACACAATTGTATTTGAAATAACGTATTTAAAATACAAAAGCATTTTGTATAGGACATTTGGAATGGAGTATTTTAAATTTAAGTAATTTAAGTGAAGTATAAACATTTTTTTGTCTTTATGAATAAATGTATTTAAATTACAAGAGAGTATAATTTTTTTTATTTGTAACAAAATATCTTATACATTGTATTTTAAATTAAATATACTAATATAAAGTTTTAATACTTAAAACATTTAAATTCAAATAAAGTATTTGTTACATTATTTCGTTTTAACTTCTTTTTCAGATATAATGACAATTAAAGTATTTTATTCAAATAAAGTAATTAAATTTTCACACACATGTGGTTGAAACTTCGAATAAAGTATCTCAGAGTAATTGAACATTATCAAAATGTGTAATTAAGAAAAAAATTGTGATATCTACAAAATACATACACTTACGAAAATGGATTCGTTTCAAATATTGAGTGAATTGACTTCACTTTTACAAGAGCCGATAAGTTAGTAAATATGCGATGTCATTGACGTCGCTCCAAAAACATTCGGAACGAATCGATTTCTGTGTGTATGAATAATACATGCATATACACTTGACGACATATTTATGTTATCGCTTTCGAAAATTACACAGAAATGATTTTCCATTGAATTATTTTCTCAGACGATTGCTTTTGTTAGAGAGCCAAAATTAATGTCAGTCGAGTTCTCGGACTCCTATTTAAAAATCACACTAACGGTAATAGGAAATTTAAAAAAGGAATAAGAAAGTATAGATCAATGTAAAAAATAACTATAAAAAATAGTACTTGGAAAACCTTGAAAAATATTTTAAAATCAAATATAATTTAAGTAGTTAACTTGTTATGCTCAACTTCCATGCAACAATAAAGTAAAAATTCAAACATTTGCTATCGACCTTCTGGGAATCGATTACCGTGTGATGTACATACAATGTATGATTACATTGTCACGCTAAAAGCATTGCTCAAACTTCGAATAGTAATCATAGAATTACTGTTTAGAAAGAGGATGAAATATCAACAAGTTTTGGTCGATTTCATGAAATTTTATCTAGTTATGCAGACGGTTTCAAGCTTTTTAATGACGTCAAGAAAAATTTAACAAAATATTGTTTAAAAGATATAAATAAGGATTTTTAAAATGTAACATTTCCATAGATTACTGTAGAAATTTTGTTTGCAATGGTAGACATACTTTAGTTTGAACTTATTTCGATGAAAAAAAAAAAACGTTTTGCGCAATTCAAATAGTGTAGTTATGATGAAATCATGAAAATACCCTACACATATATTTTATTACAAGAGATAATTTAATGTAAGTAAAAACAAACCTTTAGTCACCGTAGTTGCGTGAAATGAATAGTAAAAAAAAATTAATTTTTGCGTAAAAAAACTAATAATTTTTTACAATTGCTTTTATTATTAGAAAAGCAATAACAGAAGTTTACACCAATACCACAGAATAGTCCTATATGTTGCTGTAAAACAAAAATTTTTTTTCTAACGGGCCCCAAACCCTAAATATATATTTTTACACAAGATACAAAAAAAGGCCGGGTTTACATGGGGATCCAGCCAATAAATTGTTAAGTTTGTCTTAGGTCAAAATATACGTCTTGTTTGTTATTAATCGATTATTATTATTACTTAAGATAGTATTTAAGTGCATAAACTCCAAAATACAAAGCTACAGTTAACAGAAGCATAGGGTTTTGTTGTGAGAAACAAGGTCCTGAAGTACATTCAAAGTTTTTATTTTTAAGCTGAAATTAGTCTCAAGAACGAACTAAAACTAGACCCAACTGAATCGAAATTAATCACACATAAGCCTATAAATTAGGTTAACTACTATATTTCGCTGTTTTAAATAAATTATTGATATTTAGGTCAGTTTAAATCTCCCGCCAACTATACATAGAATCTTGTTCATGTAAACGCACCCTTAGCGCAAGTCACAAAACGTACAAGGACGACAGTGACGTCACGTGACACAAATTTTGGGACAATCCGACAATCGGCGCTCGGCGCTTGCGCATTGAAGTACATACTTTTATAAATAAACATAAATATATAGGTGGTGTAGATATTGTAGAAAGTGAGAGAGAGAAAGAGGGAGAAAAAGAGAGAGTGCGTGCATAGAGCTGCTGTTGCTGGTCTGTCTGCTTGCAGTTGAATTGTATATGTTCGTTCTGTCGACGACGTCGTGATCGCTCTCGTCGTCGTCGAGGTTCCCTTAAATTCGCTCAGCACATGAATTGCCTGTGTCGTTCATCTGAACTTTCTACACATACAGTTGCTACCCGGGCGCGTATTTCCGTGGTTTCATGCATGTGGTGTTACGGTATTGGTGCTGATCAGCGTCATCACCGTCGTCGCCGAGGCTGCACCGAGGCAGCAGCAATTGTTGCTGCTCAGCTGTAATCCTCCCACTGTTTCAGTCATCCTCGAACGGTTTCGGTGGTGGTGGGTAGTGTTAGTGGTGTAATATCCGGACTCCCGGAGAGAGTCAGTCTCTCTTCATAGCTGGGGGATATACACGCTCTCGCAGCAGCGGAAGCATACCTACAGGTATATACACATATATAGATATATATATTGTATACAGTGAGAAAGAGAGACTGGCAGCGGTGAGGACTAGCGGCCGAGGATAATGAAGAGAAGAAATGCCGAGTGCGGCAAGCTCCGGAGGCCCTTGAAACGCAACAAAATCACCGAAGGCATCTATGGCAGGTAAGAACGAGAAATAAACGTCAGCTACTGCTCCAAAATCCTTGTGTACATGAACCCTACACGCTCCAAGCGCTCCTGCACTGTAAACGCATCACTGTGGAGAGACAAGTTGAAACTTGTCTTCCAAGTCCCGGGTGGACGAGGTCTCCTCCCCCGCAATGGCCGCATCGTCGGTCCACGCACCAGCATCTCGCATTTCTTCGACCTCGACCCTCCTCTCCTCCCGTCCTTCTCTTTTGCTCTCGTTGCACGCTGCTTTTATTTTTAAAAATAACCAACAAAAAAATAAAATAAAATAACGAACGGAGATGGAGAAAAAAAAAAGTTATCGTTGCCGATGAAAGCGCGCGCGATCTCGCGTCCGATAGCCCCCCTGTTGTCCCCTCCTCTTGTATCTTAAACGTATACTACAGTTATACAAGTTCCTTATACACATGTCGCGGTTGTCGCGGTGAGGAGGGAATGATACACATGTACATATGTACTGTATGTATACACAAGGCAAAGAAGGAATTGTTATCCCGCCGTTTTCCGTAACGACGCGAGAAGGCATTATGAGTACGGATACCATATCCTGGTGTCTATACCCCAAGTTGTATGTAACATCCGAAACCGACATATGCCCATTTGTTAACGAGCTTTCGCGGTTACTCTCTCTTCCGCCTTCCTTTTCTCTCCCTAACTCCGATGCTTTCGGAGCTTGCAGAAGCTTTCAAGAGATGTGCGATGATGAGAACGCTAGTGCTGGAACTTGTCATCCGGTGCTTTTCTCGCTCTTGAAATAAAGAGCCAGCCATAGTACTTTTTTTTTTACATATGTCAACGTTGTCCTTTTTTTTTTGTCAAAGGCTGCTGCAAAATGCAGCTGCTAACGGTCCTTTCGTTTTTTTTCTTTGTTCGGAGTCGAGTGTGGAAAGTCGCTTCAGCTGCCAAATCGTGTGCCCAAAATTTGAAATATAACAATCTTTATTTTTGCTCCCCAATGATCTTTGCGTTCATTCAGCTGTTAACGTCCCAGTAGATTGCGATGTTATGAATAAATTACCAAACTTTACTTCAATCTTTGGCTTTGACATGAAATAGGGAGACTAACCTTGTGTATGGTTAGTTTGTGTACCTATGCTTTTTTTTACACCTAGTTTGGCGTATTAAATATTAATACATCTTGAGTGGAACTTATAAATTAATACTAACATAGGCTGAAGGAATTTTCAATTAGCGATACATGGATCTAATTTCCATACAAAAGCTACGTATTAATATTTATGTCAAATAGTATTATTGAAACACTAATAAAAAAAAATATTTATTTTTCAGTACACTGTTGTATCTGAAGTTTCTTTTACTATGGGCCATGGTAATCCTAGCAGACTTCATTTTAGAGTTTCGATTTGAATTTTTATGGCCATTTTGGATACTCCTTCGAAACCTTTACGAATCTTTTAGGTGTAACGGCTTTGTGAGTAAAAAAAATGCCCAAACATAATCCATATATTATCATCTGATTGTTTCACACAACGGTATTTTTACTTTCCAGGCCTTTTCTGTATTTTTTATTTGTATTGCACTTACGTCAGACATGATTTGCTACTTTTTTATCCCGGTACACTGGCTCTTTTTCGTTGCCAGTACATACGTTTGGGTGCAGTACGTTTGGAACACAGGTACGTAAAGAATCAAACGTTGAATTATTTATTGTACCCATATGAAAAATAATTAATTTTTGCATCAACAGACAAAGGCGTGTGTTTGCCAACTGTGATGCTGTGGCTATTGTTTTTGTACATAGAGGCAGCTGTACGATTGAGAGATCTACGTCATATGCCATTTCACTTAGATCTTTGTAGGCCGTTTGCTGCTCACTGGTAATTAATGTTCTAAATAGTATGTTTTTTTCTTCTCTCGAAATCGAATGCTGAAAAATACGATTGTGCTTTTTAGTATTGGTTATCCTGTTGTGATGTTAGGATTTGGCTTTAAAACTTATGTAGGCTACAGAATGAGACAGGTTTGTTTATGCTTAATTCTTTTATTTTGAGTACATGTTAAGTACTACGGATCTAATTGATACTCTTTGTACGGAATTTTAGAAAAAACAAAAAGACGTGGCCAAGGAGAATGAGTTTTATTTTCAAATGCTACAACAAGCATTGCCAGTAGAACAGCAAATGAATCTACAGCAAATAGCACACGTGCAATCACAAGCACAAACAACTACGTTATCAGTAGAACAAAATTCCAAATCACAAGTACACAGGCCGAGCCCGCAGTACAATCCAAGTCCAGAAAAGAGCAGAGGTAGCTTGTATTTATTCACAATTTATACTTACATCACACATTTGTTGATAATGCACAGTTAAAAAGTTGAAATTTGCATAAAATTATTGGTTCATTTGTATTTTAGGAGCTGGTAACTCCTCTGTAGAGGGAAATGTGCAAAACGGTGGTGTCCACAGTGCACAGGTATCTTCACAAACGCAAAGCGTGACCAAAAACAATCAGAAAAAGTCTGTTGACAAGGGAGAAAAACAGGAGGACCAACACAATAAGCATAACTCGGATAAATCGTCACATTCTGATAAGAATGACAAAAAGTATGCTCACACAAATGGTACTGCTGTATCTTCTGAATTACAGTACATAGAAAGAATTAAGTAAGTATACAAATTATTTTTCCATTATCTCTATGTTTGCTGTAAAGCCGTGTTTAATTGTATTCGTTTTGGTTACAGTTCCGTAAACGATTTCGATGCGAACGAAGTCGAAAAAGACAAATCGGTCAAGGGTACCAATCACAATTCGTTCAAAGCGCAATCGAACAACTCGTCCACTGGCAAGTGGAACAACGTCAAAGAAAACACGTCGAATAATCGGGAAAAGAAAGGTCGCCAAGCCAAAGTTTCAAACGAAGCAGCGAACGAGCAACATAAACAAGACGAATATTGTCAGAGGTATGTATACTTAAAAATATTGAGAATCATTTGTGTCTAATTGGAAAAAAAAATAATTTTGAATAAAAACTTTAAAAATAGGTTGCTCGTTTGTCGGAAACTCGAGGCGGACATTAAGCGATTAAAGTCAGATCTGCAGTCGAGTCGACAGGTTGAACAAGATCTCCGTTCTCAAATAAACACATTGTTAAGTGGCGAACGACAAGCCAAAGGTGATATTCAGCAACTTCAGCACGATAACGACCAGTTACAGAGCAAGTTAGTACTTATTGAAAAAGGGGGGGGGTTTGTGTATGTTTTCAATGAACTAAATGCTACCATTAAATTTTTAAGATTACACGGAATGATGTCGACTCGGCAACTGGACAAACAGACAATATCGTCGCTGGAGCGACGGATAGCTGACGAACGAAGACAGCGTACGGCTTGTGAAGCCTCGCTGGCTTCGGAGAGGCGAGCTCGACGGGCCGCGGAAGAAGCGCGTTCGGCGATACCACCACCGCCACCGCCACTTGTGCGCCAGGAGTGCACGGACGCGTGCAAGTCGCGCCGAGCACAAATGGAGCAGGATCTCAAGAGTTTGCGCCGAGAACTGAAAGTCAAAGAAGAAAGGTAAAAGCGATACTTGAATCTTATTTTGAATTGACACTTGTATGCTAATTTTCTTTATATGAATCGTACAGGTGCACTGCTTACGAGAAAGAAGTGGCTCATTGTAAAGAAAATCATAGCGAAGCTGAAATTATACTTGGAGCGCTTAACGCGCTGCAAGACAAAAATACTCATTTGGAGAACAGTTTGAGTGCGGAGACGCGTATTAAACTGGATCTCTTCTCAGCCCTTGGCGAAGCGAAGCGACAACTAGAAATTAAGGAGAGTAAGTACCAACACATGTAGAATACTACTTGCAATATTTATTTGACTAACGATCAAGTTGATGATAAAATGTATTTTTTTTCACTTAGGTCTAGCTCGATCACAAGATAAGGAGATTGAAAAATTAAAGGCTAAAATAGCACAAGACTTGGCTGTCATGCCACAAGACACATTTGGTCCTACTCCGACCTGCTCTACGTCAAAGCTCCGCCTGGGCAATGATATTCGCGTGGGCGGTTCGAAAATGCGAGCAAACGATAGTCTCTGTCCAGGTTGTACTGTGTCAAATTTGGACCCCAATGCAACGGTGTACACCCCCAAAGGATCGCTCGTAGCGTCTACTGAAGCTTGAAAGCTACGTTTCCCTATGTGGTAAAGCCTAACAGAGCAGGGTTTAGGTCGTTAAATCGCGTTTCACCGAATCGACTTCACTTTTCGTCTTTGCTTGAGATAAGATCACTGTTTTGTTTACTATCATTTTTTTTGCAATTTTTTAAATCTGTATCAAGATGCATTGAAATACTAAACACCAGTTTTTTAAATATTTCTGAGTGAAAATTAGAATAAATTCTTTTTTTTTTTTTTTTTTAATAGCATATTTTTCACAAAATTTCGTACGAAACGCTATTTATACTGTCTACCGCCAGGAGTTCAACTAAATATACTGAATGTGTAACATGTTAGTCACGTGTATCATAAGTTTTTGATTACCAGTGTTACTTGACTTTGAAGCTTCAATGCTGTGGGTAAGTTCACAGAACCTACCGAGTGTTTTAATAAGCATAATAATTAACAAAATTAATTTTACTTCAAATTATGAGTATTATTTTGAACATACGCGAAATGTTTTAAAAACAATTGTGATGCTTAAAATAGTCGACAACTTTTTACTCTATATCTAATTATTTTTTGCCGATGTTTTGAAAAATTATTCCCCAGCATATGGCTAAAACAAACGACAGCTTGTTGCATAAATTTGCGCTCAAGTCGCTACATGAAGCTAGTCCATCATAAAATCATAATATTTTAAAATCATATTAACAACTAAGCCATTATGGATCTCACGTCATAATTAACTATTATAATCATTTAAAAAAGACATGGCATTGAAAAATAAAGCACTGAAGAAAACAAATTATTAACAGGGACAAGAAAATTCTCAACCAAAATTCACTAATATTTTTAAATAATTTCTGATTAATCCTAGAAAAGCTCTGCTCTTAAGGACTTAAGAATTCAACTAGATTTTTGTATTTATATGACCTTTTTGAATAAAAGTGAGATTAGCTAACGGAAAGCAAGTAATCTTAACAAAACTGTGAACAAGAAGGAAATGTACGAGAAAATAAAAATGCTTGGGACATACCAATTTGACATAATCGGTACCGTATTTGTGCTGTGAAAAAAAAGTATACCAAGACAAATACAAAGCCATAATAATCATCAATTCAAGTTCAATTTGCCTCGATGGATCAATTTGGATTTTCAAACAAATTGAATTTAGGCATCCTTTTAATACTATGCTTTTAACGTAATTTTCCATTACATTACCAACGACATTAACTTATTTATTTAATTTTCATAATATAAACATTACTCTTACACTTTATTTTCGAGAGCACTCATGATAATTATTTGTCTTGGTATACCATCTTGTAATGTAATGCAAACAAGTGAATATTTAACGACAACAAAATTTTGTAATATCTTCAAGTTAGTGTACTCGATGGATAGGAATAAGGTGATTCGAAATTTATTGCAACTGACTAGTTGTGTTGTAATGCGTTTGTATTTTCGTGACACTCTTCTAATGGCCATCGATGTGGGTTGTGTGATTTCCGAGCTAGCCCCTAAGTTTTGTGAATCGTTGTTGAAGAAGAAAAAAAAATTATGGACAAAAGGAAGAGTCCTGCCCTTTTGATTTGATTTGTCAATTGAAATTTCAGCTTTAAACGCTACTTTTTTCTAGAGTAGTGAATTTTTTTATGGTTCTGCTCATTTTTTTTATTGTTGAATTGAAAAATTATAAAAATTTTAAGTGTTGTTATGTATAATGATGATAAGAATAATAAAAATTGGCTGAGTGATCGAGATTTTTCGATAGTTGTAATTGTTTCATTGGTTAATGAGCTGTCAAGTGGTACTTTTGTGAATAAGCACTATAATCTTGACGATTAACCTTTGAATAATTAATAACAGCATCGAAACGATAACTAGTCAAACTTAAAATCTTAAGTTCTGCGAGCACAAATACAATTAGAATACGTCTACAAAAAAATAAATCAATAAATCTTCCATTTTTTCTTACCACGCAGGATCATTAAATTTCATGATGTCGGCGCTAGAATTGTTAGGCTCATATTCGTATAGCTATTATTTATTAAGGCATTTGGTATTTGTAATTTTAAAAAATTGGAGTCGAGAGCCTCTTGATGAATACTACATAGAATCTCATTCATTTTTCTTTATCATAATAACAAGATCGAGGTTTTGGCGTTTTTTTTTTTTTTTTTTATTATTTCCTACAGTGACGACGCAACGATGTACATTCAATGAGAATAAGTTAAAAACAAGCGATTAGCATCCCCCATGTACTCGAATTTACTTTCAGACTGAAGCATTGCACTTTGCTGTAATTATATTTTAAGTACAACAGATTTAGAGCAAGATAAACGAGATTTTATGGATAGAGTAAGGAGGAAATAATCAAATTAGCTCCTTACACGTGTATCATCTCGATGAGATTGCAAAAGAAAAAGAATTTAAAAAAGAAATAGGCAAAAGCAGACTTATTTTTATATTTTCTAAAGGTTAAATGCGATCTGGGACACGACAAGAAAAACTAAATGCTCAGAAAGAGGAAACAATAGTGGTGAAAATAAACGGAAGTTAAAATTAATGTGAGAGTTCGTAGGAAATGTATCGCCAAATAAAAAATGAAATGTCACGCACTGCTTTTTCCGCGTATGAAGACACTCGCGAGGTCCAACTACAATCACACAAGCGTACAAGGTTGTTTATTAATCTAAGAATTGACGTTTCCTATTAGTTTGACTTAAGCTGCAACGTCTCATATTTATAATTATTTTAAGGGTGTATGCGTGTTTTAGAACGAAGCCACTGAGCATTGAGTGAACAAAAAAAATATATCAATAAAAATGAGACGAGAACTTATTTGTGCTTGCAGCTTTTCTTTCTTTCTTATTCTTATCTATTTCGGAAACTAAATGCGATTGGTTTATCGATCTGCAAGGAACAAGTAATCGTCTCGCGACGATGTCGTTTCAACGTGTTCGATCGTTTTGTGATATTAATTATGCGTCCATACTTTTTATTAACACTACGCGCTGTATTTTTTCTCTCTTCCCATTTGTATTTACTCTTTTATCATATATATTTAATTGCACACATCGTGCGACCACGTGATTTGTCAAACGAGTAAGTTCTATTTTTTTTTCATACTCAAGCTAGAAACGAGTACTTAATTATCGCTTTCCTATGTCACGCGCATGGCATTTGATTTCAAAGAAAACTTTCATTTTTTTCTTTTCTAATAAAAAAATATTATTCACACTACATTAAATTGCATGCGTCCTCTCTTGGAATCACAGCAATTTTAGTATCTTTGTTTATTTTTGAGTCACTTTTTAGCGTACCAATGCAGCTTCCTCTATTGAATCATTATCCGTTTTCCTTAAGCTCATCGGTTTTGTGGGCCTTGCTATATGTCCANGAGCACGCAGACTATTTTTTTTTTTTTTTTTTTTCAGACTTATTTTTTCTAGTTATAATTTAATTAGTTTCAAGTTTGTGTCAATCAAGGACATGACTGATCGTCTCAAAGACTTTAACAGACATAATCTTTAGAAATAGTAATTTATTTCGGAAACACGTTACTTTATTTAGACAAGAAAAATGAAAAAAGAGAGACATTTCTTGTAACTTTCAAGTTTATGACAATAAATTTAAAGGAGCATTATCGATGGATGTGTAAAATTTCTTGAATTTCATGTCGTTATTTTTCGCACTGTTTCTCTCTAATAAAACTTGTGATTGTTCAAGCAAAATAGAAAAATAAAAGGTTTTTCATTTTCTTTCCCAACATTCAATTATTAAGGTTCCTTTTCAAAACTCCTAGATAATTGTTTGGCCAGAGATATTTAAAAATTAAAATTGTTCCAAATTCCCAGAGTTTGATACAGCCGTCAAAAATGTAAATGAAAACATACGCTTTTCTCTAAATCGGACGAAACATACAAGGCGCTTCCAACGATTTGTACTATGTACTTACAATGAAACACTTGTTTTCTCGTTTAATTAGCATATAAGTTACAATGGCTACTTGCCGCTCTTATGTATGTTCACACTGATCTCACTCATTAGTCGTGATTGTGCTCGCGATTGTCTTCACACTATAATATTTATAATGAAAAACGAATGTACGAACATGCAAGATTATTGCGTTTCGGTGAAATTTTTCATAATTTGTGTGCGTTTCGATTTACTTGCTGTGTAACGAAACTCATTGTTTGGCGACTTTTACCAACTTCCGTTCCAAAAAACCTTGTCGCATAATATTCGATTAACAACCACACGCGTTCCTTGTACGAATCTCAAAAAATTATTATAAATTTGCATCCATCTTGTGAGTTGCAAACCTTTCATCTGCTTTTTCTTTTGAATCTCGATCCAACGTGAAAGTACAAAGTACATAGCGAATCAATCGATGTGCGCATCAGAAGACTATGTAGAGGAGCTCACGCCGCTCTCGAAAAAACTGACTTGTGTATAAGTTTAAATAATAATTTGGAAATTGTCTCCTATTTACGTTGCGCTCTTTTCTTTTATTTATTGCACTAACAATAATTATTAATATTTAATACCTACATTACGACTAAACCTTAACTGTACATATTGTAACAAAACAAAAATCTCATTCGTCACTTTATCCCAGTTTTTCTCGAATCACGTCGTCCCTTTAATCCCCTGACTAAAGAAATACATTGTTTATATTGCATTTCCTTTGTCTTCATTAATTTTTGTACGATTGAACGTCGAGGCAGTGAAACTAGACTAATTATGTAAAAACCAGTGTGGATGACATTTTCAAGTTTGACAACTCCAAAGAGAAAAAGCAGTGACTTGGGAAAAATAAAAAAAAATTTCATACTTTCTGATGAAGCTCGAAATCGTATGAGTCAAACACTTGGTTTGCTTTCTTTTGTGATTTGTAATTAATTTTCAATGTTCTTGAATAATTAAACTGCGATATATGTATTTTATCGTTGTGGCAATACATTGAGTAAAAAAAAATTAGTTATAACAATGTATTGTCAAAACGCCAATTGTGTGAATTCGATGTCGGTGTAAACAACACAAGCTTATGCATGAAAGAAAACCAAGACATTTTTGGGTTAAATGAAAAAAAAAAAAAAAATTATACTCTTGTTTTCCTCCATTCAATAGTTATTGTGTATGTAATATTGTCAACGCTCAATGATACATGGTTATTTCTTTTTATAACTTGTCCTTTTTATATCGAAGAAAAATGAACACGAAATTGTCATCACAGATTACTTACAACTTTTATTTTGAAAATTTAACGTTGAATAATAACTATTTCAAAACTTGAATTCATTTCTAATTATTATCCTTCCTTTATTCCATTACAACAACGCTTATAACTGGCCATCATATTTTTGAATTAATTTTGAACAGTGATAAAATATATATTATGTAAATATATTTATCTTGCTTGAACGAGCAGTGAAGTAAAAAAGTCCTACTCAAGTTTTGTTTCAAAAATGTTTTATTTTAATTTCGATACTTACAAACATACAAATAAGGATTAGTTGATTAAAATACAAAATTGCAAAACATGCTTTAATAATAAAAGTTATTAGCGTTATCATGAGCATCCAAGGAGTATCCATAAATTATTCGTTACTAATTCTTGAGGAAAAGGATCACGATAAAACTTCGAATTATAATTTATATCAGTATTTGGGATTGTGGAAAAGTGTATTTATTAATCAACGATAATCATCAAACAATCTCAATTTTTTTTTTCATAAAATAAGTAAAGTATTTCCCCTGAGAATTCCTACAGTATTATATAGCATATAAATTTAGATAAACAATAGTGTTGATAATATTCTGAAATTTTATGAGGCAAGGTGTGCTAAAATCTCAAAGAAAATTACGATGATTCAGATCGTAATACTTACAACAAAAATTTTATTTTTTTGCGCTGTGTAGCAAATTTTACAGTTTGGAAGAACATTTTCATTAATAAATTTTTAAAATATTTAGCTACGTAAACTTTTTGAGACACTTGAAAATTTGATCAGTATCAAACTGACTTTGACAATTTAATTATTTAATTTATGTATAATACGTCCTTTTTTCATTCATAATTCCTTAGTATATACTGCATCAAAAGGTTAAAATCATTAAAAAAAAATTAATTTATGTGAAAAACATTTTTGTTACATTTTCCATGATGTACAAATAAACAATTATAAAAAATCTAAAACAGAATTATATAGGTGAAGTAGTAAAGTTACTAGATATTCGTAATTAACTTTTGTTGAACAAACATTTGTAATTACTTTAGACTCTAGAAAAATGTAAAACATTACGAATTTAAAAGTATGTTATGTAGTATTATACAACTATTTCGTGGACCAAACTATATCTACGCACAAGTCACGTAAGTCAAAATTACAATAGAGTATCATCTTGGGAACCAAAGTTTAACGGGCATTTTTTTTTAATAGTAAAAAAANGAGTCTTTCATCCAATAACGGTTCATGCAAATAAATCTTGAAGTTTTTAACACGGTAACCACAGAGTCTTTAACGCCATTGGACAGTCATACATGCATTTTCCCTGTTATATATAGATTTTTTTTTTTTTTTTTACAATACTTGTCAACTTGGGAACCAAAGTTTAACGGGCATTTTTTTTTAATAGTAAAAAAAAAACAAAATATATTACTGTGCAGTAGTCAATAAGGCACAATAGTTTAAAAATAGCTCAAAAGTAGTAACGTAATTCATTTGCACTCATTTATATGTGTAATAATAATTAAAGCGTTGAATTTAAAGTTTTTGAATTTTCGCAATTGTTTCCAATAGTATATGTGCTACATTAACACGTTTATTGTCAACGATATCTAAAAACAAAAAAAATTACAAAAGTTAAGAAAAATGAATCTCGATTACAAAAAAAAAGAAAAAAAATGGAAAATTTACCTTTGTAATAAACCAGCTCAACATAATCTTTACAGTCAGGATTGTCATTAAGTAGATTTTGCAGAGCCTCGTAAAAATTTTGTATTATCTGTTTCTTGTATTTTATATACACAGCTGCGTAATTTGATGTTAATTCGTTAACAGTTAAATAATTCAAACAGTTTAATTTTTGCACGAATTCAAAAACTTACGAGCATATCTGTGCGATTGATCCTGCACTTCCAAGAATGTCTTTAAAGGGGTAGCCCCTTCAACGGCAAGATAAACGGATTTGGAACTTAGACTCGTTACATTAGGTCCTTCTGAATGAATTTGGTAAATGGTATTGTGGTAGGTGCGATTGATTACACCTGCCCTGTCGAGAGTTATGGTATTCAACAACTGAAATACCACATATTATACATGTGAAAACGGGTTTTTTATTTTTTTTATTTTAACAGTACAGTGTTAAATTACGAATTAAATAAAAAATATTTTTCTTATTACCCCCTTGGATTCCATCCAGTTATCGGAAATTTCTTTCAAATCTGCTGGTATGTAAGTCGAAGATGGAATAAGTATAAATAACTTTTTTACTGGAATTTTTATAGAATGTGTGGCCTCGTACTCCTCCAGTGCAGTGAAAATTCCTATTTATACAAAGCGTTAAGATACGGGTCATTCGAGATATTAGTAATTGTTATGTTTACTGTAAAAAAAATGATGTGTTGTATTTTACTCACCAGCTCTTTCGATTCCTCCCCTTGCTGGAAGCACAATCTTTAAATAGCCATAAAAATAGCTAGTGGCCATATAGGTGCCAGCGTCGAGATTTGATGAAAATATTTCTGAGGCGTTGAATGCACAACAACCAAGCTTTGAAAATAAGACTTGTTTTTTACAAAGGAATTTTTTAAACTTTTTCTTAACCTGCTTGTTTTCTTTATCACTTACAATCCCCCACGCAGAAAGAAGCAGTAATGAAAAGGCGATCGAGGAAGAAGTAGCCGAAGACTTTGGATGTAGCATTTTGATGACTTCACAATGATCCACAGTTGTTTAGATATCTGAAAGTCTTTTATGACGGTTTTTGATTTTTTTCTATTGATTCAATATTCAGTTACCACTATAATAAAATTTATTTAGTATAGATTTGATATTATGTACTTAGTGTTAATATGCTTTAATGTTACACCCAATAATTTAATAACAATATTTAAAAAATTTCTGACTATTTTTCGGTTACGTTTATTATCTTAATATTAATTACCAACTCAAAGTCATACGAAATTTTAAATTTTTACCTGGTGCTTCATGTCGACAAGGCAAACACCGGGCTCGAGGGAGCCATTGTGTTTGTCCTATAGTTTATAGCTATACACGAGTTACGAACCTTATCATTTTTTTTATCAAAGTTGTATTAAACGCCCAAAGTAGAGAAATAAATTTTTTTTGACGAGGCTCTTTCTGGCCTTTAATTTTAAAAAATTCTCTCTTGCTTGGAAATCCCTACATTTTATAACTCCAAATGAGTCACGTATATACTATTCAATTATTTTACTAAGCATCTTTAATTTACGTCATGCGCCATATCATGCGCCTTGAACCACGTACTCAAGTAAATTAAAACAGCTCTTTTATTTTAGTTAAAAAGTCTTACCCGAACAAGTATTGAAAATTTGGGACTATTAAATATTTATTAATATTGTCTTGACACTTTGACATTTACCTAATAATATGAATAGAGATAGATTTGCTTAAAAGCTCTTTTGAAGCCACTTCGAGCAACTTTTCGACCACGTGTTTTGTTCAGTCACTCTAATACCTACTTAGAGTATAAGTAGTTACAAGAGTATCCAGAGCACGCAGACTATTTTTTTTTTTTTTTTTTTTTACCACTTATCTAGACTAGAAGCGTTTTTTTCTCGCTCTTTATTATTTAAGTGTCAAATCACGCTATGTACATAAATTATGATGATTGATCTGCAATTATTAAAATATAATTGGAGTTTGGGGGCTTCAACAAACCATAAAATTTTTTCATACAATCTAAAAAAATGTTCAAGGTCAGACTTTGTGCTCTGGATTTACTGGTAAGTCACTGCAAGTACATTTCTACAAGTATTGGTAATAACCCTACAATAGTTAAAATATCGTATGATTTGTTTGTTATTCGTATTTAAAACTATACGCTTATAACTATTTAAATTTCTTAAACTTACGTGAAATTATTTTAAAACATTAACGTTAACTTAATTTTTATTTATAACAGTGTATTCGCATAAATAATTTCAAAATATACTTACCTATAAGCAGATACTTAACGTTAAAAAATTTTATGCAAACTGAACAAAAGCTGAATCGAACGACGGCTATATATATAGCTATATCCAGCTATAGTGTCGTCACTGAAAGGGGATTCCCACGAGGGGAACCACCAGACACCAAACGTGAAATGCCAGCGCTAACGTAAAGGCAGTGTATTCACTGTGTGCAAGTTGGTGCACAGAGCTCTTAGTATAAGCTAGGGATACCCGGAAAGTTCAAAAATACATTTTAACTTAAATAACCCGGTAATCCCGGAGTCTTTCATCCAATAACGGTTCATGCAAATAAATCTTGAAGTTTTTAACACGGTAACCACAGAGTCTTTAACGCCATTGGACAGTCATACATGCATTTTCCCTGTTATATATAGATTTTTTTTTTTTTTTTTATATATAAGAGTGCTCTACGTCCGGCTCCTTTGATAAGGGCACTACTATGGGAACTTAGCACTTGGGAAAGGGACAAGGAAAGGGATGGGAGGCCCCCCATTACAGGGAGGGGGTGTAGGGGGAATTAGGCAATTTTTGCTGCGAGAAGGTCGCCTAAACCCTCCTCGAGGAGCATTGCGTGGTGAAAAAGCACTTGTGAAAATACACAGAGGTACTTGCCCGAAAAGTCACACTGGCCGGGAATCGAACCACGGTCTCCCCGCGTGTCAATCCACGGCCTAGCCGACTGAGCCACCGCGCGCTCGTTGTTATATATAGATACTACATGATTAAAGACTTTGTGGTTACCGCGGGTTTTGGGGTTTAATGCTTCGAGATTTTCTAATTGCACATGGCGAACAATTATTGTTCTTCGAGTCACTATAGTTAAATATTTATACATCTTCGTGTCTGTATTTTTGACTATGACGTTAGGATTTCTCTTTAGAAAAAAATGTAACTTCTATCACAAATTTGATAGACGCCTGAGATAAAGTTGAAGTAGGGTAATATTTTATGGTGAAATAAAATTCAGCAATCAGTCACAGAAAAAATCCATGAATTTACTGAGACAATGCAAATGTGCTTATACTTTAGAATGTATTACTTAATCAACCTACAAGGTATGGAAAAAATTTTTGGCATCCAAAAGTCTCATTTGGTAACTGAAAACGTCCCTACATATACCAACGCTATATTTTTTTTTCAAAACAGCGAAAGTTGATCCAGATCTTATGGGATTTAACGTAGAAAACATCGTTCATACTTTAGCCGTATACTTGATTTTAAGCCATATTAGATTGTAATAAGAAATTGATGTGGGAAATTTATTAAAATATATAAATATATGCTAAAAAAAAAAGTTTAAAGTGTTCTGCCGTAAAACTTACGTTGATATTTCGAATATTTGTGAATTTGTTTGTTCTCGTAGTAAAACAACAATAAAAACTCATTAAAATAAAGAAATTTTGACCTAAATTTGTGTCATTAGAGTATTTTTTCTAATTAGCTGTCGACACAGACTAACGTTAAACATTATTTTGACGACAAAGATAAAATTTTCTTTCGTATCTAAAGTTGGTACATTGTGGTGGTAGTTAGATGAACAAACGTTTGGTATCAATAACTTATTTCGAAATGCATCATTTTCCAATAATTTAGTTTCGTTTGGAGGTCAAATTATTGTCGTTCTCTACAATTAGTGTTGATAAGATATGACTGGTTTTTTGGTGATAAAATTTATCGAATGACAGTGATTTAAACAGTTTAAGCCAACAGTAATTTTTAAAATAACGAAATTTTGTAAAATAAGTACAAGATTTAGAAACATACATGTTGTCCTTGAAATGAGATGTAACGTACTGTTTTCAATTTATAAAATAAACATTTTATTTTATTAGATTTTTGAGTGCTACTGATTTTACATCTATTATTTCATACTAATAAAAATATTCATTTATTTTAGTTAGATACATACAGACGCTTTTGTAAAATATGCTAGCCTTCTTCGTAGCATAATAAAATGTACTTGCTTGTTGTTATCTTACATATATATTTGGTATAGCGATACAGTAATATATTTTTACTGGCAACATCATACCGTCATCGGCTGTACAACTAAGACGTGCGTATTCCTTATCTTCCTTTACTTAGAGCATGCATGTTTTAGACGATTTTCAAACAAAGACTTACTGTCACTTAAGGCACTGAAATTCTAGACTTGATGAGCTCATGCCTATTCCTGGAAGGTTCGCTGTTACTTTTAGTTTTAATTTCTTTTCAAATCAAAGTCACTGAAAAGATTATTCGTAGTTTTGCTACAACATTGAAGTGCACTGTCGTTCTTTCAGCCCTGCCCGCCATGCTTTGCAATTTATTCTCAAAAATAAAATAATTAATTGTGCAACTATATTTTTATACAAATAGATAGAAAATCCACTGCCAATAAATTAGTACAAAGCTTCCTTCGTGTACATGTATATTCTATCGATTTTTTTTGGAAAAGATTTGAAATATTGATTATACTTGTCCCATTGATTCAATACATACTTCTATAGTTTTCAATCAAAAGATTTTTGTTCTAGAAAAAGCTTTTTGGTTCGCAAGAAATNTCTTTCATCCAATAACGGTTCATGCAAATAAATCTTGAAGTTTTTAACACGGTAACCACAGAGTCTTTAACGCCATTGGACAGTCATACATGCATTTTCCCTGTTATATATAGATTTTTTTTTTTTTTTTTACAATACTTGTCAACTTGGGAACCAAAGTTTAACGGGCATTTTTTTTTAATAGTAAAAAAAAAACAAAATATATTACTGTGCAGTAGTCAATAAGGCACAATAGTTTAAAAATAGCTCAAAAGTAGTAACGTAATTCATTTGCACTCATTTATATGTGTAATAATAATTAAAGCGTTGAATTTAAAGTTTTTGAATTTTCGCAATTGTTTCCAATAGTATATGTGCTACATTAACACGTTTATTGTCAACGATATCTAAAAACAAAAAAAATTACAAAAGTTAAGAAAAATGAATCTCGATTACAAAAAAAAAGAAAAAAAATGGAAAATTTACCTTTGTAATAAACCAGCTCAACATAATCTTTACAGTCAGGATTGTCATTAAGTAGATTTTGCAAAGCCTTACAAAAATTTTGTACTATCTCCTTATTGTATTCTCTGTACAAAACTGTATAATTTGATGTCAAAATTTTTTTAATAGTTAAATAATTCAAACAGCTTAATTTTTGCACGAATTCAAAAACTTACGAGCATATCTGTGCGATTGATCCTGCACTTCCAAGAATGTCTTTAAAGGGGTAGCCCCTTCAACGGCAAGATAAACGGATTTGGAACTTGGACTCGTCATATCGGGTCCATCTGAACGAATTCGATAAACCGTATTATGATAGGTGCGATTGATTACACCTGCCCTGTCGAGAGTTATTGTGTCCAGTAACTGAAACATTTGTATAATGTACGTGTAAAATTTATTATTTTTTACATTAAAATTACACTGTTAAATTTGGTGAAGTCTAAAATATATTTTTCTCATTACCCCTGAAGCTTCCATCCATTTATCAGAAACTTCTTTTAAATCTGTTGGTATGTAAGATGAAGATGGAATGAGTATAAATAATTTTTTTATTGGAATTTTCACGGAATTTATGGCCTCGTACTTCTCTAATGCAGTGAGGATTCCTAATGGTGTAATGCATTACTGCAAGAGTCATTCAAGCTGTAAATGATATTCATTGCAAAAAAATGTTATTTCGCTTACCAGCTCTTTCGATTCCTCCACTTGCTGGAAGCACAATTTTCAAATATCCGTAAAAATAGCTACCGGCCATAGCGGTGCCAGGATCCAATCCTCCAGTCGAAAATACTCGGTTAACGTTGGTCGCTCGACATCCGAGCTGTAAAGATTTTATTTAAGTGCATAAGAATTTTTTTGGTCCATTAAAGTCAGCGAGAATCCCTTTGGCTTTTTAATTCAGAGAAACTAACCGACATTATTAACACATTTTTTGTTGCTGAACTCGATTTTAGATATCATGTCAAGAATATGTAAACATTAGTTGATTACCATCTTCTATTGTTTTTTTCACAATACGGGTTGTAGATAAACACTACTCGAAACTACAAATCGAGGAAAATTAATTTAATTATTTGAAAAAACAATTTTCTGTATCGAACATGTGAAGCGCAAACAATTATCTATTCGTACAGGGAACAGCATCGGGAATCGTATTCAACATGACAGAATGAATCTAAATATCTTTTATGCGTCTATCCGAATTAAAAAGATACTGAGAACGCACTTGACTCTTACATACTATTAGAATTCATCACTTACAATGTCCACCGTATGAAGCAACAGTAATGAAAAGGCCAGCGCTAACAAAGTAGCTAAAGGCTGTGATTGTAGCAATTGAAAGGCTTTATAATGATCCTCAGTAGTTAAAAGTACCTGAAACATTTCGATGGCAGTTAGTATTTTTGTTTTCTTGATTCAATATTTAGCCATAATAATGGATTAAATACCATAAATGAAGAAAGTGTAACTATAAAAATAATAGTTGACGAGGTATTAAAGTACAAAGTATCTTTTACGACGTTCAGGAAGTCACCATTGTGATCAACATTTATATAAAATAGTTCTTCTACAAACAGTCGAAACTTGTAAAGTAAAATGAATAACATTAAGAACGTAAAGCAAAGAATATGCAGGTACACTGAAAATAAAAAATGTACAATACAGTATTTTAGTTGGATGCAATACTAATATTATGAACGGCTCCAGAAAAAAAATTCTAGTTTTAAGTTTTAAAGACTGAAGTTAACAAAGCTCTAAAGCTTTTTTGAACTATGTTTTCTCGTATCATTAATACAGTTAGAATACGGGACAAAGTAGCAATGTAATAGTAACAAATATTCCAGAATATCGTCAATAAGAATGTATGATAACAATATTTTTTAACTACGACAAATTTTTCTAGGGTTACTGCTTTGAAATAACTTTTTTGTCTAGAGCCATCGGCATGTACTTTGTAGATTTTGTAAAAAGCTTACAGGTGTCTCGAAAAGTTTTACGAACAACTTTCTGGTGCAGTTGATAAGCACAAACTGTAAATTAGTAATATTGAATTAGTAGCTCTTAATTACTGAAAATTAATTAATGGGTGCAAGTATTCCATTTAAATAAAAATGTGCTGGTATGATTAGGTTTTGTGTTTCTAGTGTTGTATGGTGAAAAACTAATGTATTGTGTATACAATAATACTAATTCGTTGTATGTTGCAATATCTATGGAACAGTGCCAACTGCTTGAAAATAAATGCGTTATAAATTTTATTTTTTTTATTTTAACGCATTTATGATACCCAATATGTTGGTTTTTATATCTCCATGGAAAATGCATGTAATCTGGTATCTAGTAAAACCCCTTTTTTCCGTGCAGGAGGCGTTATTGTTTCAGATTACTACATTTATGTACAAGTCGTCGTGGTCCCGTTTCATGTTTACGCTGAAACGCTAGAACTTTCGTAATGTATTACAACTAGTTCTATAGCTCACATGCTATAAAGTTGAAACTGAATATACTTTGTAGCGTTTTAGTTCAGCATGAAAAGTGGCCTTGAGGGTCAAGAAAAGTGATTGGAGAGAAACGTACGTAATTTCGGGACTTTTAAGGTATTGAATATTACTAAATGTTTGAACAATTTCAAGTCACCATAAGCATAAACATAACGATTATCAACATAAACACATGCTTCACAGCTTTTTTATTGAAACGAAATTGAAGTTAATCTTCAATCATTCAAATAGTAATAAACACAAAGCATATTTTATTAACTCATATGTCGGTGTAACTCTTTGCTTTTGCATTGTATATTATTAACAACTAAAATAGTTAGAATTATAGTTTTTGTGGTTTTCACGTTTATCGTTGTAAAGCATCTGTGAAATTGTATTATTGGCCTCTTCAAAGCATTTAGTCCTTAAAAGTCCCGAAAGTGTGTGGCCGGGTAGGGAAGGTCAAAGTGTCACAAACGATTTTTCACTCAAACTTTGTGGATCAAAAAGTACAATGAAAAGATGTTCTTATGCTAAATTTTAGGTCTCTACATAACTCACGGTAAGTGTGATCGGTCAAAATGTGTAAGTACTTCAATTTATCTTAGTGAGCAAAAAAAACAAAAAAAAATTTACAAAAATTCACTACTAGATACAAAAAAATAGCGATTTAGTCCCTTCCATTAAAAATTTTCTGTTTGAAATGGTTTTTTACCTTAAAATTCTTTCAGGCACTCTGATCGCATTTTTAGTACAAAAATATAATATGCATACATGCAGTCTAGAAAGTTTTCAAATTTTGTCACCATACGTATGAGTCATTTGATTTTTTTTTTTAAACCAACCAACATTTTTGTTTTTATACTCACCTAAGAACAAAAATACAGCAATGCCATAATTGATCCAATAATGTTTTGATCTGGTATGCGTATTTTTTATCACCCTGAAATATTCACAACATTCGTTTATTTTTAAATCATAGTACAACTCTGAAAACTATGCAATATTAACGTGAACAAATCTTTTGTTTAACATCTTAGAAAACATGCAAATACTGCAAACGGCAATAACTTATACTTTTATTATAAAAAGCTCCATGTACAGATATTTGGATGTAAAAAACATCTCATTCGAACCAAACAAAAGATTCAACGAAACAAGACGAAGTAATGTATGCTTACATACCTCATGCATATAGAACTTGAGCTGACACTGCACCACTGCACATAAGTATAATATCCACATCTATAGATGCCTACAGGCAGTACAATGCACGTGTGATAAGTATACCTACAAGTAAACAATAAACGCAACAGCTAGAGGGCTGGAGCCTATAGACATGCAGGGCAACACTTTAGAGACAATATGAATACCAACTACATGAAGTTGTGAGTAATTGTGATAACACTCCGGCTAGAAACTATACTTATATATTATGGACCCTGCGGAAGCGGTGCACCGGTACGCATGCATGAAGTTCCCTCGGTACATATACAGGTGTAGATAATAAGCCTGGTAACCTTGAATTTTCACCATTGCAAATATATTTTACATTTTGACACTGGATACGCTGTTTATCAAAGTTTATTTACACATAACACGTTTATATATGTGTTTGTCGTTTAACATTAATCGTTCGTCAATAGTAAAAAATATCAATACGTAATTTTAACATCCCTACTATGAGAAGTATTTTTTTCACTAATTCTACTATTGTGCAGCAATTGTATATATTTTAGCAGACAATGTATAATAAACATTTATGCTGTCAGAAGTTGTGACTATTACTGGCACTAAAAACACTTTACTGTTTCCACTTCGCTCACAATGCAATTGTAACATAAGTAGTAACATTGAGCGTTATTATACCATACTTATGTTTACCAATAATTTGCAACGCTGCTACCTACACTAACTGGCGGTAGATTGACGCTGGCATAAACAAATTTCCGAATTTCGGTAATACCTGTCAAATTCACATCGATATTTCGGAGTTTATCTTTACAAATAGTTCCATAATTTAATGGTAAAAGGTCTAAAGTATTGTAATTTTGTAGACAGTCGATTTTATAAGCCATATATGATAAGTAGAATATTTATGGTTTTGGAGGTCAGTTTTTTTTATAAAAGATATATTGTAAACTTGCCGCAAACAGCACAAAAAATGTTTACTTTTTATTTTATATTTATAACTTAAGTTGCGGCTGGTTTATTATCAATTACACGGCTCTACTGTAAGTAGGAATAATTATTTGGATCAGCGCCATCTAGCGGTCTTTATTTTTTGGCCAAAAGTGGCTCCTAAAATTCTGAATCAGAGCTTTAGCGCCTAGAGCCATTTAGTCAATTATAAACTAGCCGCAACTAATTTTGTAGACATAAAATGAAAAACAAACGATATATGTGTTTTTGACGGCAAGTTAACAATCTATTTTCTATCAAAAAATTGACCTCCTATGTATTTGTACTTTTGAAGATGAATTTTTAAGTGAAAATAAATTGTTAACTTGCCGCCAAAAACACATGTATTGTTATTTTTTTGTTTCGTAGCTACACAATGAGTTGCGGCTGGTTTATAATTGACTAAATAGCTCTAAGCTCAATTGCTCTGTCTCAGAATTTTAGGAGCCACTTTTGGCCAAAAAATAAAGACCGCTAGATAGCGCTGATCCAAATAATTATTGCTATTTACAGTAAAGTCACTTTATTAATTATATACCAGCCGCAAATAATCTTATAAATAGACGATAAGTATTTGACATTTACTATGCTATTTGCGGCAGGCTTACAATTTATATTTTATCCGAAAATCGACCTCTAAAAGTATAAACATAAATGGATGCATGCGTGTGCATGCGCACGGGAGTGTGTGGCGTGTTCATGTGTTACTACTACTGTTACTGTTACATGTTACTGTGTTGCTGTACATACACATACTCACATATGTACCATAAGATTTGTCGTCTGCATCAAACACGCGTGCTTTCGTTGATGTTTGTGTTTAAAAATTTAAGGTTATATTGTTGAAACGTGCTGCTCAAACAAAAATAATTTTTCCTCTCAAAGTAAGTACCTACTACTAAAACTATTAGGAACAATATCTATTACTTACTTATGCTAATATCAAGTTATTATTATTGAAATGACATCAGCGCATTGGGGGGAAGATTAAAAAATCATCTTGTATAGTATTAAATTCATAGAGAATATCTCTATGATTAAATTTAGTGAAGCTACATTTTGTTAATTTGTAAAATTGAATGTCGTTTATTAAAGCGAAGAAATAAAAATGAAAGCGCCAGATTCGAATGTTAAAGAATCAGAGATTCTGACAGAGAGTAAATATGAAGTACCAAAGCCTGAGTTGAACGGCAACATGGGAAATGATGTAAAGTTGAATAAAAAGAGGAAGAAAAAAAAAAAAGACGAAAAAGAAGAAGACAGTGATGTGCCAAAAGTGCCTAATAAGAAGCATAAAATGGAAAAAGTAGAGCAGGTAGATGGAGGAAATAATGTAGATGATTTTGAAAAAGCACCTGATCAAGATGATGAGCAAGTTGTCAAATATTCTGCTAAGGAAACTAAACAATTTACAGGAAAGGCTTTTAGAAAGTTATTAAGCTCAGAAAATGCGTTTGAGGCACTTAAAAAGTTTATTGCTTTGCACCAGCAAAATGATGGAAAAGACTTGGCTGCAGAGTATATTAAGGAAAAAGGCAGCGTTCTCGAGATTCTTCAATTACTTGATGTAGCAGAGAAGAAAAATATCAGCAATGCTACCACTGTGTTTGCAGCAATGCACATTGTCATCATGAAGTGAGTGATTTGTAGTTTTGTAGATTGATTCTATGATACCATATCTATTCAAACTTGATTTATTTTCAGAATCTTATCTCAGTTTCCCAATCAGATACAGTTGACAGAGCAGGCATGTCATCATCTCATCAATAGTCATCTATCAACAATTCACTCAATGCTGTCCAGTCAAAGCAAAGCAAAAAGTCGCAAAGTTGTTTTGAAACTTTTAGCTGCAATAGTCACTTTGGGTGATCCGTTTCCACGTGAACTGTTAAATCACCTGTCTCTGCACTCAGAGCTCGTAGAGTTTTTAGTTTCTCACGTAAGACCAACGGACCCGGAAAATGTCAGGACATGTTTTATACATTTTATTCTTGCTTTTCTTGTTGAAGGTGATGTGTCTGTCATAAGAACACTGCTTGAAAAACGTGGTGTGGTTTCAAGTATTTTTTCTGACTTGATTTATGACTTCCCTCATACTGTTCAGCTTGTACTGACAACAGTAAAAAAATATGTTTTGGAGAACTCGGGAATTTCTAAGACCATAAAGCTACATGTGTTTTCAACGCAAGTTATCCAAGGAATCGTTAATTTGTATAATTGGAAGGGTCCAAAAAATTGGACAGGAAATAAAAAGCAAAAGTCAACAGTAACAGCATTCGTGGATCCAGAGGACAAGGAAGTATGTACAAATTACTGTTTACCATTTGTCTGAAATCAATTTTTCTCACAAGAAGATAGATTAACCAAAATTTCATTCACAGATTGCAGTTAATGCTGTTCATGAGTTTTTACTTACTTTGTTAACATCTAATAGGCATGGTATTGCTTTTCATGATAGAAAACTTGGATCCGATTCCAGTCGCAAACACAATCAGTTAATCAACACAGTTTTGCAAAGACTAGAAAAACCTTGGGAACATGCAAAACCATCAGAATTAGTGGTCAAAATTCTGTCAGCTTGTCCAGATCTGATTAAATCTCAGCTGTTGTTAGCAGAACCATTTCTAGTTCCAAGAGTTTCTAAAAAATGGGTTTCTCTTATAGAATTTTTGAGAAAGGTAGTCTCAGACCGTATTGAAACACAGTTTTTTAATAAAGTTATTTTATTCTCAATTTTTTCTAGATTATTGAAAACATCAATGTAGAAAATTGCTTAAGATTATGTTCCCCTGATATGACAACAGTACAATTGACAAACGCAATTACAAATCTGACAATGCCGCAAACAATTATAAAGAATGCCATAATTCCATCTTTAGAGCAAACCAATCCCTTAATTCACTATGAAATAATTAAACTAGTATCGGTAATGATTACAAAGATAAAAAGCTTTTCAACTCTACTTGGCACTGTGAAATCAAACATTACTGACATTCCTGCTTTGAAAACTAATTTATTAGGACAACTTACCAAGGTGACTTAATAATATTGTTCTTTTGAGCCTTTTAAATAAAATGTACTAAATTTATTTTTACTATTTTATACATTATGCTTTTGTTAATTTTACAGCACATCCCAACTTTTGAAACAATTATAATTACTTGGAAAAGAGCTCTATCTGTATCATCAGGTCAAAATTCAGATACAGATGAGACAGATTTGTTTGTAGAAGTCAAAGATCGATTACAGGCTGTACTAGATCTTTTACAGATTTATTGTGAAATTTGTCCAGAAATTTTATTGATTAGTGCTTCAAACGCTGAAAACGAACCAAAGATATTACTAACAAGTTTGAATGATGTTCCAAGCATGACTGAAGAAGAGTTGACCATGATGAAAGTAAAAGCTCTGAAAATCTTATTATGTTCTGATGCATTAAGTTTTGCTCCCAACGAGGTGATTATCGTTTATATGTATTCAAAACAAAAAATAGTTCATAAGCAATATTTGGGCATTTTTTTAAATTTACAAATCTTTCTAGGAAATTTTTACGTCTGCTCTCTCATTATTACTGACGAAAGTAGGACACGAAAGTAGTTCGTTTGATTTCGAAGTAATAAACACGATTAAATTATTAATAAACAGCTGTGGGATTTTTGAGGGATGTAACGATGAAATTGAAATCTGGATCGATGCAATAACTTACATCGACAACCACGAAGATAAATTAGAAGTATCTAATTGGATTGCAAAAACTATCAAGCGTGTTTCTAAAAATGTTGAAAAATATGTATCTTTGATCAGTCAGGTTGAAGAAAATGCAGTGGAAGAGATTGTTAGTGTCAATAAAATTGATGATATCTTTGATGGTACGTAAATATTTCCGTGAGCGTTTGAAATTTTGGTTTGTAGTATTGATTTTTATAATTTCTTCCAGATTTAATGGAAAGGAACTTTAAAGAAATAAAATCTGTAACGTCAATGTTACCTTTAACTTCGATATCCTTGCTTATTTACGGTGCCATAGAAAATTTGAAAAAGAGCCCATCCAATGCTTTGGCCCACTATGTTTCCGTGATTTTGGTACATTCACTGCACTGCCAAGTATCGTCAAAAGCTTTCTTGTCCTTGGTCGAAGACCTGAAAACTCCAGCCCAAAAATACTTAACTAGCTGGTCGAGTGACAGATCACCAAGTTCCATCAAAAAACCTTTTGACTCGCAGAATATTTTTCGCAGCATAAGTACAATTTTGTTGGATCCGAGTAAAAACTGCAGCATTGAAGTTAAAGAATCATTGCTATGTCTAAAAGTGGATGGAAATGTCATTGAATGTAAATTGACGAACTTTCAAGTAACAGCAGTTCTTCGAATGGTCATGTTCTATTTGACACAGATTGTTCGAAGAAATGGCGTAGAACCACCAAATATTTCAGTTTACACGGATATTTTATTGGCACTGTTGAAACTTGCTAGACAAATTGAAGTCGATTCTGAAGACTTGATTAAAGACTGCCTTGAATGGATTTTCAAGCATCCGATTGTTTTACATTATTTTGAAGCGATCCATGAAACTAAAGGATCAGCGGAATACGGGATTACGAAATTTCTTATTCAAATTTGTAAATCCAACGAACAGAATCTGATTTCGCACTTTCTCCAGCCGTATCAAGAAAAATTCATCAATGTAATAAAATTGACGTTGAAAAAACAGAAAGAAAATAACGCAGAAATTGATATTGAAATACCTACGGAGTTGATAAAAGTGTTGCAATTGGATGTCGATCGCATGGTAGACTTGTTGAGTGCGATTCTTGATTTGAAGAAAAATGAATTTGTGTTGTCGGATAAATCCAAATTATCGATTTGGGGAATTTTGGTGCCCGAGTTGATAAGCAAACTTTATGTTGGAGAAATCAGAAATGAGTCTGGCTCGTTTGTCACAATCCAGGACAACTTGTTGAAAAAGTTACTCCTTCATCTGGTGGATTTGAAAACATTGTATAAGCAAGACGTGTCTTCTTGGGAGAATAATTTGTATGAATATTTGGTAAAGTTCCCACACAACATTTCCGTAATCAGTGTCAGTAAGTATCAATAAACATAAACTCCATACAATTGGTAATTTCAAAATTCATGCTGATGAACATTTTTACAGAACTATTCACGAGACTTTTGGAAACAAATTTAACACCCTCGTTGGAAAAAATTATTAACTTACTGTGCGAAAGGAATGATAAGTTCATCGCTGCTTTTATCAAACATACGGACAGTAGCAAGAGGATGTTGCAAAAAAAATCATTAATCTTTTCAATCTTATCCAGCAATTCGAAGTATCAATGGAATCGAGAGTTTATCAATAAAATTTACGAATCGCACAAAAGTGACATCGTTCAATATTTAACTGAACCCCAAGTTGACAAGGCTCCTTGGATTCATGAAAATGTTCAAGCCGTAGTATTTTTAATCGAAAGTTTTTTCGGTAGGTATAGACAGTTTGCATCAAAAACACCTTATTTGCTTGCTTTCAAATGACTTTTTTCAGATTCCGAGTCGTGCAAGGAAATATGTTACACTATTTTGTCAAATGGAAATAAATTGGACGCAGTTCAAGAAGGGCACGTAAAATTATATTACAGCTTGTTTAAGAAGAGCCTAAGCGTCAACCCCGACGCCTTGAAGAATTTCACGCAGCTCCTACTTCATGTAACAGTGACGGCGTTGAAGAAAGATTCGAAAAATTTCGCAAAACTAAACTACCTTTACAAACTACTGATCAACACCATTGATACTTTGAAATCCAAAGAGGCAGATTTTGCGTTCGAGGAACTGGGTAAGAACCATTTGTGGCCCCAGTTCGTGCGAATCAGTCTGAAATCAGGTCTCAAACCTATCAAGGAAGATAAAAAAAGTTCGCAGCCGTCACTATTGATTAAAGCCTTGAGCGCTGCTTGTGAAGTTGCGTACAAAAATAACGACTGCGAAGAGTACGTCAAAACTATTTTTGCAATGGTTACTTTGCACACCGAATTCAAGGATACAATGACTAGTAACAGCCAATTAAAAAGTAAGGGATGAGCACTTTTTGTTTTTATACTGTTTGTCAAACTTATTGTATCTTTATTCGTTTTAAGGTGATCTCGTGGAACTATTGTGGGTCCTTGTGAGAAAAAACAAAGAAATCATGTCAGAAGCCCACATTCCGATTTACTTGTGTGCATATAATGCTACCCTCAGCAAAAGCGACCAATTCATTTTAAAAGTAATTGTCGAAACAATGTAAATATCGCAGCAGTGAAATGGTATTAAAACTTGAACCTTCTTTTTCACAGATTCTCCAGCACTACGAGAGGAACAACATGAGATTCTCAGATTACGCGCCCTTTCTTTGGGGAAAAGCAGCCGAGTCCCACTTTGGGACCGAGGCAAGTTTGGATACTGCCTTGTACAGAGAACGCTCAATATCCCAAATTCTGGACCAACTGGTGCCTGAAACGATCTCGCGAACCATCAAATTTTTCCCAGTGGCGAGAAATCTGGCGGTTAGTACCATCAAACTATGACGAGCAAAGAATTTATACTCATACATTCTGTCTTTTGCAGGGAGACTTGGTGGACGTAGAAAATGCAGATCAGATCTACGATCCCGCGTTTTACCTGGCGGTATTCTGCAGCTTGCTGCAGGACTGCAACGACGTTCCCTGCCATAAGGTGGTACACAAGGGTGGACTCGCGCTCACGATAGTCGCTTGCAGCAGCGCTTGCGATAAAATTCGCTTGGCTGCCTACACCGTCTTGTCAAGGTTCTACTGTCATTTGCAGCAACTCGGCAAAAGGTATTTGTTTCTTCAGCTTTTTTTTTTTAAGAATTTCAGGCTCGTGTCGAAAAAAATCCAAATAATTGTCTTTCACTTTACTTAGTGCGAAAGAAAAACTCTTGTGGATCCACTTTATCGAAGCCCTGTGCAACGGTACAGCAAAGCTGGAGCAGCCGCTGGAGAAAATTCGCCTGAACGGTTTCATCGCCACTTTCTTGGCCCGAGCGACCAACATGATGACGCAGCCGTTGAATCCGCTCTACTCGCCCCTTCACGCTTTTCTCATGGCCAAACCGGCTCTGGATCTCGATATCATACCGGAATTCCTGCCCCTGTTTCACAGCTCCGAAGTCGAGCATTTGGCTCACAGGCACTGGATCCTCGAGATCATTCGCGATGGCTTTAAAGATCACGAGGATATGGATATTGCCTTGAAGTATCTACTTTTCAAGATGCTGTTTTGCTACTACAATTGTATATTGGCAGATGATGTGACTAAAGTAATTGCGATTCTTCGTTGATGTTAATTTTTGCTAGTTTGCACGAGACTCGTGGCTAAATTTTTTTTTTTTTTTTTTTTTTTCAGAAACTCATTCTACAAACGATTCGATCGGCGACAAGGTTAACGAGGGGCTGCACGATACTCGTCAATGGCTATTCTCTGTTACCATGGCTGGTCAATATAAGTGTAAATCTAAAGAAGGGTGATTCAGAGTCAATCGCGTGCGTCATCGATATTGTAAATAATATCATCGATGCTCATCGAAAAACCAAATTGAAAGATACTCATCACCACCTGTTGATAAAAATACTCCTTCAGACAAAGTCGCGCTTTCACTATAACCTTCCAGTCGACTGCTTCCACAAATTTGTCAATACGTTGATCAAGGCTGCAACAAACAAAATGGCCTGCAATGCTCTGGCAAAAGATCACCTGTTGGTGGATCTAGTTGAGCTTGCCAAGATCCTGTTGGGTGACGTGAACGAGTGCGAGGCAATTCTACAGTTTGGGTGTTCATTCGTAAAACATTGTGAAATCGACGGCGATGCCTGTCCTCGAGATAGTTTATACAAACTTGTAGTGAACTGGTGTAATTTAACAAAAAATGACCATTAACTTTTTGTACTTGCTTGTAAATATAATTGTAAAAAGAGCAACAAAATATTCTGATTTTTATTTTTCACGCGACGGTTCCCCCTTTTCTTTGCTTAAATATCCTAAAATCGTTAATAAAAACGTTGGTAAACAAACAAACATCACATGATGTAACCCATAACCCATTTTTTCGGTACCAACGTCAAAATTTTCCAAGTAACGGTATCAGTTCAAGTGTAAAAAGAAAAAAACCTAATAAAAATTTTAGAAAGGGTAAAGAGACTCATCAAAAAATGTGCGTCAAGATCCAGAATTCCAGTTCTCAACGCACTCCGGGTTATTTTTTGATTTCTCGCTCCAAGCTAAAACGGCGGTCCAGCTGCGACTTGCAGTACTACGCGCCAACGCGTTTGATTCACCTACAGCACCTAAGCGAATTTTTAAAACGTCCCATCAACGTGTGGTCGAAGGAACGACTCATCTGCTGCGTCAACGGACGCCACGATTCTTCGGACGGATCGGCGATCGACGTGGAATTTTCGAAAAACAGCTCGCCGATCGGACACTTTGCCCTGAAAGGCGGCAAAGAACCGAATCCTCGAGGCACTCTGTACCCGAATAATTGCCTGTTCGACTGTGTCGCTTCGCAAACGGGCTTCGAACCGATCGAGCTGCGGCGCGAAGTCATCAGGAGGATACTACGCGGACGATCGCGGAAGTACTGGTCGGATCATTATGGTTCGTGAGTTTTTTTTTTCTTTTATAATACGATTAACAGGTCCCTTTCGTACCTCTTGAACGATCTTTTCAGAAATCAACCGTCTCAGCAAAAGTAACAATTACACGGTACCATCCATACGGCGATCCCACTGTGACCAGAGATGTCAAGCTCTCGATTTCGCAGGTAAAGAATTTTTTTTTCTTTGCCTTAGAAAACCAGCGACTAGGTCATTCGTTTTTGCGCGCGTTGCTTTATCTGAACGTAAAATAAAAATGGAAAAGTAAAAAAAAAAATTAATTTTCAGCCATAGTTGACGACACGATGCGGGGTGGCGCCCGGTACCGCGGCAAATCGTCCGAGGACGCGAAAAAGGTACTGGACGAGTCGCAAAAGGGCCGCAGGCACCCCGACGGCCTCGCGGGCCATCCACGAGGTCACGCGTCCCACCCCGAGGCCACAGGCGAGACGGAATCCGTGGAGAACTACTCCAAGAAAAACTGGGGCAAACCGGTCACGGGCTTCCTCTCGCGCTCGGACCAGGACGTCATGGCGCACCGGGTGCTGCTCACCAGCGAGGGCAAAGAGGCGATGGACATGCTGAACCAAGAGGGAGCCTCCGCGAGGGCAGAGGTGATTCACGTGTCGGCGGACAAGTTCGACAAGCGGGACTTGCGCAGGGCCCAAGTTTGGGTCAACGGGAGGGTCCAGAAGAACCGGCCCAGCGATGTAAAGAGGCTGACTATGGTACTGCGGCACTTTTACGACAGGCACGACGACGAGGACGCGGATGCGTTCGTCGTCACGTTTTATCCGAGGATCGACGAGTGGAACAAACACCCGCACTAGCTCCTTTTCAAACCGAACCCATACCGATCGATACCGATCGATACCGATCGCTGAGCCAAACCCACGGCCCGCAAGCTCGATCGCTCGAGCAAACAAAGTCCCTGCCGACAATGCCGACGAACGGAACCCGGGACCGTAAGCGTGTATCGATCGAAAGCTCGGGTCACCGCGCTCGCATACGCGCAGCTCTCGTACACGCGCACACCGCACACTTCGTCACTGGCGAGAGCAGCCCCCCCGAGCTCTCTCTTTCCTTCTCGCGCCTTTACGCCGTTCACGGGAGCGATATATCCGCGGCTTCTCCCTCCGTATACCCTCCATCCACACACATACAGCCGTGCTCGCCGTGCAGTTTGTGCTGCGTAATCGACTAGTGCACAGTGTCCACTTGTCGTTGCGGGAGATGCGGAGCGTCTGAAACTCTCTCTCTCTCTCCGAGCGTCCACGTCGTCGTTTGTCCGTGTAAATTCCCGAGTGCGGGCAAACATCCACGCGAACCCATCCACATTCTGCGGGACCTTCGAGAGAAAGAGGAGGGCAACACAGAAAATAACATCGGAAGAGAGAGCCAGTTAGGGTGCACATCGTGTACAAGCGACTGTCGCAAGCTCCGAAGAACGACAGTGAGATAAAAGAACAGAAGAAGAGGAAAAAAAAAAAAAAAAAGGCAATCGGCCACCGAATGTCCAGCCAGAGATCTTGTGGTTCGCCAACAGCTGCAGGGCACGTAGCGAGCAACGAGGAGGCCTGGTCTGAGCGCGCGCCCAGCTCGCCCGGACTATTGGCTGCGTTCTGACTGATTTTCACGGCCCAGTCACAGAAAGCCTCCATCATTCCGCCACTAAACGAGTGCGGGCCCCCAGGGTGGCGAAACTTTGTTAAGGTCAGTCTGGACATATACATTCTTCTTCTTCTTACTTTTTTTTTTTTTTTTTTTTTTTTTTTTTTTTTTTTTTTTTTTTTTTTTTTTTTTT